TTGACTTTTTTCTGAGGAGGAGAGGAAATAATATTGTCTAAATTTGGTATATAATACCGTGTCTTTCTCAGGGGATAGACTGATTGATAGTTTTAGGCTATGTCAGGGTGAAAATGAAACCTTGTGTTTGTGACAATTGACTTGATAGCAGCTGCCAAACATGATTTCGAGTCATGGGAAGTATTTGAAAATGTTCCTGTCAAATAACAACATGCCGAGTTCATTCCTGACCTTGGAAATTATTGCTTGTTTTAACAAAATACTCTTCGGGCATCTATAGTCTCTGGAAAGTAGGACCACTAGGGCTCTTTATTATCGTTAATATTGAAAGGGCTCAAACCAATGAATTTCAGATTAAGACTAAACTGTGATGCATGAAAGTTTTGCTTGTGTTTGTTTCCCAAGGACTCCTCAACTGTTTTCCCTAGGCCTCTTTGTCTGTCTAGAAAAAAGTAAAACGCTCCCTGTATAACTAAACTGATGGGCGACCCAAAGCCTTCAGTGGGCACTTGGGCAAAGTAAGATACGGGGAACTGGAACAAAGGACACAGAGATACCATCTAGGGAGGATGATGTCGCTGATTTAGGAAGAAGACACCTGGACTTTACTTCACAGCACGTAAACTGAAAAGAGCAGACACGTGAAGAAGACCGCATACTTCCCTCAACCACCGAAGACCCTCACCCTGTTTCTACTACGCACACTCAGATTATGTAAAAATTCCGGGAACTCATTATCATAAGACGCCCCTTTCTAGGAAATCTAACGAATGTGTATGATTGTGTGTGTGTAAACTGATGTTCCTTGCTAGTTCGTGGGAGCCTTTGTGGTGGAGAATCCCCAGGGTGAGCCCAGCGCTGCTAATAAAGAATACCTGCTTAACAGTTATATTGGAATCTGACGAGTTAATGTCTTCGTTTCAATACTGACAGGGAACATAAATTTAATTTACATTTAGATAACCAACTTGTGCTAATGCTAGGAAGTTATAAACAATTCTAAAACTTTTGTATGAATGCTCTGTAACTGATGTCAATGAATTGACATTTTTATTCCATATTTAAAATAATACATGCTTTTTGTCATTAAAGTAACTACAACACAAAAATATCCTTTCAAATCCTTAAATTAAGAATCCTGTAAATAAATGTGGGAGTTAAGACTGTCACATACGCTATATTATTCCTAATGGAAGAGTGAGCAAGTAGTTACTAAATGGCTTTTCGTATGTCTATAGAGCACAAAGGCTGAGTTTCCTAATCCTCTATTTTAGCAGTGTTTCTGATTGTACATAATGTATCATTAGACTGCAGCAAATCTAAAGGGTCTCTGGAATGACAGTCTTGCATATCTTGAGGATGAGTGTCAGTCTTGTCAGAGGGGATATCTTTGCTATCAAACTTTATTCTCAGAACTTGTACACAGGCTTTCTAAAAATCAGAAATTATAGAAATCTAATATTATTTACACAAGTATTTAATATATTTGCTTTTATTTCACTGCAGGGTTATGTTTCTTGTTCTTTTTCAGTTGCAACCATGCAGTGGATATAAAAAGCTACTATGAATTATGAAAGAAGGAGGAATAAAATGTCAAAATACTTTGGTACTTACTGCATTATGTTCCAAATAAAAAGCTTTAGATGAAGAATTGCCTCTCTTGCTAAGAACAAGTATCCAGGAAAAAATGGTTGAGAATCTTCATTAAATTCACCTTAAAGAGCTGAATCAAAGCTAATTAAACTGTTGTAGAAGTATCTGTGTAACCGCTCAGTCCACAGAAGTTATGGTTTTATAGTTTAAAGAACACAGAAGTTTTGTCTTTGCACATACATTCCATACTCTTGGCATGGATGTTAGAGGTACAATGTCCTAGACAGTTTTGAATGAATAGTGGGATTTAGGAGAATTGTAAGAGCTGAAGTAAACTCATAATCTGGGAAAGCTTGATATCTCCAATAGCAGCAGTGTTATATCCAACCCGTCCAACGTGACCTGGAATGTTTCCAGGGATGGGGCAGGTAGAGATCACCAGGGTGGACACAGAGATGGAGCTCTGAGAGCCTTTTATCGTATTTTAAGACATTTCTAGCTGTCCCGAGAAATGAGGGCCTGGAAGTAGCAGTTCATGAGAAATAGCAGCAGGGACTTGTGTATTATCAGTGACTGGTGTAAAACAAGGAGAGGAGCGGTGGTCAGATGACAGGACACTCATGGTGGAGCCTGTGGGACAGTGTGCCATCAAATTAGATGGTTATGCCCTTTCTCCTTACTCATGAGTTCTAGCTTCTGCTTTGTGCCAGCACTGGCCCTTGTGTGGCCACATGATAGACAGACTATGGGCCTGATCTGACAGGTGGTTAGTTTTCAGCGGGAAAATTTCCTGATCTCATTGGCCTCACAGACAGTGTCTGTGGCAGCAGGAAAGAGCAGGAGGATCCAGACATTTAGTAACTAAGACAGAATATACACCAGAGAGACTTATAATGGGGAAAATAGCTCACGTGGGAGGTTTGATATATTTTAGGCTGTCTGAATGACCAGTAACACCGTACTTCAGGAATTATGTCTTTGGCTTGGAGATGTAATAGATAATGCCATTTATTATTACCCAATTTAAGCCACTGCTCTGATGAAGTGTATATCTGAGATTGTTCATTCTTTGTGTCCCTAATATATGTCACCTTACAGGTACACGTGGCATGTGTCTATCAGTAGACTCCTTCTGGACAAAATGTAAGAATATTTTGTGCTGTTTTATGGATCGCACACATCTCTGTCTTGCAGCTCTTTTTAATGGACGAATAGGTTAAAATCTTGTCTCAGGTGGTGGATGGGGACCTTAAAGTTATAGTCTCTCTATGCACTTTTTCTACAGCCTGGGGTAGCGCTGTGGTGCAACTCATAGTTTATCTCCACAGGCAATCTTGTTGACCCAGATGAGGGAGTGGGAGATGTGAATGAGTAAGAAATCTGAAGCTAACATTGCCTTTTTTCCACAACATGGGCAGAAGGGTTTTGCAGTTCATCGCTTAAACTGGAATGGGGTAGTCCTTCAAGAACTGAACTGAACAAAACCTGTATAGAAAAATATCACTTTGGAGATAATTGCAACGTGACCCATTAGTCACTGACTTTCAGTAGTGAGAGAGGTGGTTCATTTTGAAGACTGAAGTATCTTTTTCTATATATAAGTAAATATATATCAATAAATATTATTAATGGTTGGCTGAAATGTTGTTTAAACCCACGAGTCCTTTAAAATTATACAGAAAATAATATAGAAATATTATCCTGATAAACAATTTTAACTATGGAATTTAAATTTCTTCATGCAGATATATCATCCAGTGCCTAAAATTTGCTTGCTTTTTGCTAGCTAGAGGTGTTTGGTAGAGCTAATTAGGTAGATATTTGCAAGGAAGTTTCTTAGTCGTTTGAAATAATTTATTATGCCTGCAGTACGTGAACACTAGAGGGCTCTTTAGACTAATGCAAAATAATACAATGTCATGTTTATGATTGAGGACAAGTCTGAGGCATTTTTTATCTTGAATTAGATAATCAAAACCACAGTTTTCATTAGAATGGTGTAAGCCTTTTCAAGAAAAAATAAATCAATGTCTTTGAAAGAGGAGAAACATAGCCTGTTATGTAGCAAGAATTTGAGGTTTTGAGAAGTGGGGTCTATATATGTAGTCATCTAATTGATTTAAATTTTTATACATATTTCTGATTAGCAGTGAAGATTTTTAAAATTCTCATTTCAAGTGGTTTATTTTAAGATAACTACATGTTTTATATTTATTTCTGTTTGTCCACCTTTAAATTTCTTCCCTTATGTGGTAGTTAATTTATAGTAGCCCTTTTATTATGAAGCCCAAATCTGCATTGCATTGTACTATACCTGATCATTGTATGCAGAGGTGAATGTGAAATGTAGCTATGCTTGTTTGGTAGTGTTTTTCAATTGCTTTATGCTTGCTTTCCAAAAAGTTATACATTTTGTGGATGCCAAAAATGGTTTTTAGCTGATGTGAATTTCCAGTGCGGCCTGGAAAGGCTTTGTCATCTTATACTGACTGAAGTTCGGACCCAGTGTGTTTTTTCCAGTGTTAACTGATACCATTTGGGGGGGGTGGAAGCTGCAAAACCTGCTCTATGTTGATGGGAAAAACCATAAAATATGACAATGCTAAAAACTGTAGTGGAACAGTAATCTCATTGTCTTGGTTTACACAGCCTTTGTAATCAGATACATTTTTTTCATACATGGTCTTGATTTTCCTTGTAAACTAGTTCTTGTGCATAATTTGTTCTAGTGTTTTTCAATGACACTGTGGTGTTGTAGAAGATAATTGATATTAGAGAAAGTGAGAGACATTACAAATTGAATTAGTTATTATGGTACCCAATTTACATCACTCTAGGCAGCATAGTTTTATATTGTCAGAGGGAAGCCTGAAAGTATGCACCAAAATTAATACAACTGTGCTTCGAAATGTAAAGCTTTTACATACACACAAATGCACACACTCATTTCAAGAAGAGTTTGTGGAGAACAATGTGTAGGTTGCTTGTTTAGAAAATTGAAGGGTATTTTTTCCCTATGACAAGTCGATCATTGAAGAAGCAAATTAGACTTGAAAGACAGGTTGAGAGATAGTTGGTTCATGGGACCAATGTCCTAGAAACCAGTGAAGATTTTTCTGTGTTAAATAATATTGGCAGCAGCAGAGTAATTTTACTTGAGAGACTTTGGTTGTCAAACACTCCCCATTTTTCTTGGATTTTCCTGGCCCTGCTGTACTGTTTCCAGTCATAGGTATATGCAGCTTATTTTTAGCTGCTGGTGTGGTTGTTCTGTACAAAACATTCAGCCTCCAACTGGAATTTTTGGAAGTAAAGAAATGTAGTGGTCTAGTGGGCACAAGAGTAGAACGTCTATTTGAACTGTTTCAAGATCGGAAAGAGATATTTCCATTTGGCTTTTCTTTCAGATTCCTGAGACTTGGTGACTCAAAATATCCATTATCCAAAAGAAGGCTATGAATTTACAAGGAAGAATTAAACCAGTCAGGGAAGATTCTGGCTGATGGTAAGTGGAGTGTTAAATGACCAGAACAGCCTGCAGAGCGAGCAGGGAAAGAACATTGTTGGTCCGTTTTATAATTCTCTCTCCTCCAAGTCCCATCAAGCTCACATTATTGTTCTTATATGCCAGAAACTCTGAAGGGAAGTGGGAGAAAAGGAATGTATGGGGAAATGTATATAAGGGTAATGAGAGGGGAATTAGGGCACTTTTTCTGCCAGGGAGAAAGATGGGGAAAGAGGATACACTGTTGAAAAGCAACAGGCAGAGGGATCTGTTGTACCCAGGTCAGACTGGGTGGAGGTTAGGGGAAAGGAGGAGAAGAAAACTTACAATGGGCCCAAATCATCCCTGATGGCTCCTAAACCTCCCCCACTCAGAACTCTGGAACTCCTTGCTGGTAGCCACCCCCTAGGTATATTTGGGAATCTCTCCCAACTTCTTTCAGGTCCTCACCCTTACTTCTCTGCAGTCCATAACTTCACCATCTACCACCCAACCCCTACCCATCCTACCATCTACCAACCCCTGTCCTAGCATCTCCACCCCACCTATACCCCTGCTCTGCTGCTCTTTCCAAATTACGTATTGCTGGCCCAGGGATGAGGACAAAATTGCTTAACTGGGCAGTGACTGTTAGTTTTGCCTGTCTTGCTGAGGAGCCTTGAAGTGATTCCATGGAGGACAGCATGGCTCTCTTCCCCTGAACACTGCTAATTTATACTTGACAATTACCAGAATCAAAGTAGTTTCAGTTTTCTTTGAGGATGAATTCACAGTCTGCATTGAGTGTGTATGTGTAGTTCAGTTTGCTGTACACAAACCAAGTAAGAGCTGTGCATGTTAAACTTCATTGAAATGTCTTCTGGACACTATATGGCCAAAGACACTTTCAGCCTAAGACATGTCTGGCTGCTATATTTCTATTTGTTGTCACTGATGAAGCACGATGCATGTGGTGACTTAGATTAGAAAATGACAGACTTGGCTCTGTCTCAGCTGCTGCTTCTAGCTATCATAGAACCAAAATAGCGTAGGCTGCAGCACAGTTTATAAAGCTTGCAAAACACACTTGGCTAGTGAAAATGCCAGCCAGGTATCAAATAATTTGGCAAGGAGAAAGTTCCTTTGATACAATCAGCAGTTTATCCCATGAATGCAGTCTAGGATTTAAGGAGAGCCTATTTTTGCACTAAGCTGAACAAACTGAATGCTCAGCAAAAAGAACATAATATATTTAAAAATTATTTCAGTCTTCTGTGTGATGGTTAATTCTGTTTGTCTAGGCTTTGTTTGAATACCAAATATAATACAAAATATTGTGATTTTGGAAGGCTTGAGCTCGTTTGTTAACTCTACACAGTTCTTGCTAGTGTGAATTAATATATATACATTTCCTAATTGAAATAGCATATTTTAGTATTTTTAGTTTTTGCAATTCTAGGTGCAAATAATTGCCAAGAATTGCAACATTTCAGGAGGAAGCTAAATTGTGCCAAATAGAGTCAGGAAAGATTAATGTATTTCACATTATTAGAAGAGAAGGGCTTATGTTTAGAAGCGTCGAGTAATTCTAAGATGCTAACTTGTCTGAAGATAAATTATAAACTACTACCACTGTTTATCATTAAGATTGATACAGGACTCTGAAGGAGAGTATTTTTGTTATGCATTACATAAATTAAGAAACAAAACCTGGTAGTAGACAAGGAGCATTCACAACATTTCTGTTAAAAACATTTTTAAAATATCATTAAATGTATAATTTTGATATTTTGTAAAAAAAAAAAAAAAAAAAAAAAAAAAAAAAAAAAAGCCAAGCTTAATCATCAATGACAGACCAAAAATTTAAAGCACATTCAGAGCTCTTTCTGAGGAAAGAAATTCAACTGGGGATCTTAAAAATGTGGGGAATCCTCTTTCATGTATAGTATTATTTGCCTTAATGCCTTTTTTTAATTTAGAACAAGTTATATTAATATTGTCCTTAAAAGGCATGGCTTTTTCTAGAGGAAAAGGTAATGTGTTCCTGGATTGTAGAGAGATGATGAAAGACAAGGAAGAAAGCACAATGCAGGCAGTGTGTTCATGTTAGGCCTTGATTTCTGCTGGTAGAACCTGGTGGTAATGGTCCAAAACCAACTCCCGTTACTTTGTATACCAATAGGGGTGGAAATGCTGATAATGCAGATAAGGTCTGTGGTTCTGTGCTTTTGATTTAAGTTTATGACATCCACAGATATCCACTAAAGCATATAAAAAACAGTAATTAGTGCTAATCTCTTTTCATAGTTGTGTATTTTATTGATAATCTAAGAAAGTGGGTGTTGGCCACTATAAATCACAGCTAAATACTTTTCTATGATAGATATAGAGACAAATTTATTTCTGTCCATTATCTAAAGTTGATGGCTCCCAGTTTTCAGCTGAGTAGTTCAGCTGGAAGTAGGAAATTTTATGTGGGTGGTGGTAAAAGATAACCTTTAGTCCAATGCAAAGCATACAGGCACACTCTCTAACCCAGCATATCCACGACTGTGTCCCCATTTTTCCACTCTTGGCTTTTCTTTAATTTTCAAGGGACAGCCTGTCCAGTGATTCCCAAAGACAGGCTGGATCCTCTAGACTCGCCCCCAGCTATCCATATTGGTTTTGCCAAGAGTCCATGCTTTTTCAGATTGCGTGTTTCCTCCAGAGAGCACATTTTGATTTAGACTCCATGGCAGTTTAAAAATACAAATGCAAAAACTATTTGACTGCTATTGAGATCTCTGTCATAACACAGCACCCAAATCTCTTGCTGTTATCACCCTGATCTCTCACAGCTATAAGAAACTGAAAAACTTGCCACAAGCCCATCTTTTTTTGAGGAATTGCATAGTGTATCCTGTTCTGTCATGCCAAGGCCTTTTTGTAGGTGGAAGATAGGGCTGAGGACCTCAGTCTGAGGCAACAGCACTGATATTTTTAGATGTCTTCTTAAAGGCTTCAATAAAATGCATAAAACTCAACAACAACTTACTGGCTATTTTCTCTCTTTAGAGTTAACTGTGTAAATAAACTTCCAAAAGTGGAAGTTGGGCAATGAAAAATAATTATATCAGGACGTTTTTGAAGGATGAATTTTCTGATAACTCTGCCATGCTGATGTGTTTGCTGAAAAGGAGCACTAAGCAACATCCCAATAACCTTTGGAAGAGACTTCTGAAGAAAATACAGTGTGTGCAACCACCTTATCTATTCCTTTGTCCATCTACCCTCTAACGATGCTGGAACTCACTGCCTACTTTATAGTGGCTTCTGCCAGATTGGAGGAGACAGAGCTCAGGTCTAATTCATTCTGTTTAACAGCTGCTGCTCACCTGTCAGTGCAAATGTAGCACTAGACTGGCAGGAGCTGGATGGAAGACGGAGGATGAGGGTAGTGATTCTAGGAAGGGGGAAGATGTGGAGAGGAGGTGGTGGAGGAATGCTGTGGGAGGACACTTGGAAGGAGAGCTGTGTGTGTGAAGATGTTCAGGTATTACATGAGTAATGACTGCTGTGAGGGGGCTTAGGGAATACAGCTATTTTGCACCAAAGGACTCAGGGACTGTGTTACACTGTGGGTGCTAAACATAGGACATAATTCCATGGGAAACCAGGCTTCATTAGTCCTGCTGCTCCCAGGATGACTTACAGAATGGTAGGCATGCTTCGACATGGTTGTATTCTTAAAATACTAACAAAACTTTCAGTGAATGGCTCAATGACAGTGCTTTCTTTTCGTCCAAAGACACATTTTTCTTCCCACAGAAGATGGAATTATTGAGGTTCTTCTGTGGATAGAAAGCCTGTAAGTTATCGGGAAGCTGCACTTGTAGGCATATCCAATCTGCCTAATCCATTGGCATTAGCATTGAATAGACAAAATGTTGAAAGCATACCTAAGCCCACTGATGATATAAAAGTGCCTACAGCTAAACAGATTTTTTGTTTCTTGAGATTTCTAGCTCACATATGTTTGCTGTCCAGCAAACTAAAGTCAACTGAATAATATTACTGTAACTTACTTAAAGCTTTCTGTTGACAGCATAAATCATGAGGGCAAAGCTATATTCCCTTTTATGTGCATCTAGAATATTGATATAAAAATATAGCTTTCTGTGTTTATATTTCTTCACAGTAGTTTAAAAGAAAGCCTGGGTAGTAGTTTTACATAAAGGGAACTTCAAAATCAAAACTGGTAGGTAGTTGCATCAAAGGGGAATTTCAAAATCAAGCCTGGTATGCACCTGTGAAGAGCCACAGTTTTATAGGGGATTGAGAGAATCATCTTTGGTCCTTGTATGCGACTCCTCTCTGCTTGTTCCAGGCAAATGAATTCAAAAGGATACTTTAACATTCACAAACGTCATTGTTTTATCATTATACTATGCATTGTAATATAGGGGAAGAGAGGAAGCAAAATAAAAGAAAGGCAGAAGGAGGGGTGAATGAGCCTTAGTGAGCAAGCTACTTTTTCTGGCAAAAAAAAAAAGGTAAACTGTACCTTGGTGCACTGTTTGATGCTCTGGATCTCAAAAGCATTTATCCCACAAGTGAACAGTTGGAAACACCAGTAACTTCCTCCTCCTGCAGTGCCTATCTGATTTCAGTTAACAAAGATCCTCGTGAACCTGTTTGGTGGAATCTGAGGAGATAATGTGTTAAACCTTGTGATAGCTGGTCCTAAGTGCATATCTTTTCAGACATTACGCTGCTTTTACACAGCAGTGTGTTTTTATTCAGTGTCTTGATGCCAGACACTACACAGTTATCACAACAGGTCTTAATTTGCAATCTGATGTTTTCTGGTTCTTTACTGTGGTAGCTTTGACTAGGTAGTCTCCTGTTTTATTGACTATTCCCCTTTTAAATTATGGTAAATATTAAATATGAACAGTGTTTTAAAATATTCAATATTTATTTTGTTCTTGAAGAGCTACTAGTCAGAGCTGGTTTTCAGGTGACCTTAGCATGTTCAT